TAGAGTCTAAATCTGTTCATTGTCTTGTAGGTCTACCGTTGCCACTTATTAATTAATTGATTAATTGTACTTTTACACCACCCATCTAGGAGGAGGTCACACTGAGCAGTCTGCAGAAGGGAACAATAAACGGAGATCAGTAATCAAAATACACCAATACACAGTAATCAAATAAAATGAAAAAGCTAAAAATAAAAAAATACAACTACAATAAATTAAATTAATTGGTAAATAAAAATTTACATTTACAAGCATTATTGCAGATCTGTGGCCAGTTGTAATCCTTTGCCGTTTCAAACTGAAGACCAAGTATCCATTTTAGTAACAGATTTTATAAACTTCAGTATGGCATTGGAAATTAAAACTGCCTACCTGTCATTACATGTTGAAGTATCAGGCAGGGTGTCTTTTTAAGATACGGTGTGGTGGTTTCTGTATGCATGCGCAAGGCTGAGAGAAGCAAAATAATAAACACAGCTCATCTTAGCCACTTATAATGAACAGATTTGGCCAAGGTAGCTAGCTGTGTTTGTCATTGCAAGCCTATTGGGCAATAACTCAAGGAAAATATGGGCATAAGATGTTGTGGCATCTTAACAACTAACCGCTGTATGTACTGTATTTGCAGATTACATGGCAATTTTTTTAACACATGGCCCCCCCCAAAAAGAGACTGTGTTTGGTTAGTAGACATCAGTCACAAATTGTATGAATCAACAGAGTATTTCACATCTAGTCTTTGTATTGTGAAAAGCAACAATGACGAGGGGGTAAGGAAGCCTTAGGCTATAGAAGAAGAACCTTGGAAATAACGTTGTTAATTATACATAATCAAGTAGGACTTGGGGACACCTGGGTTCGAATCCCAGCTTGGCTATGGAAATTTACAGAAGGGTGTAGAATGAGTAAAACCATTTTTTGAGTATTTCATATACCATGAAGGCTCTAGGTTGGTTCTTCCTTGATGGCAGATAACACCCACAATTTTAAACCCATCCTTTCCCATAGAAGGGGATGCACTCAAAAAAAAGAGGTGACCTTGTGTTACTCAGTTGTCTGATGTCATTAAAATTACTGGCTCAAGCTGTCTGGGTTTGTTTGTTTTTTAAGATATGCGAGTGTACAGAGAAAAAAACTTAGCGCGGAGTTAACCGACGGCTGTCCCGTTACTTTCCGACCGTCCCAAACGCTCCCCCCGTCGGGTGGCGAGCTGTCCGCTTCTTTGCCGCGGAGCCTTTGCGGAGCCGTTAGAGCAGCGCTTCGTGGGGACCGTCTCCCTCCCTTGTAAACGCGAGAGATCGGATCCAGGACGGCCACGTGTCTGTCCCTTCCCCGTCTGAAACCCACAAGGGATCGCAGGACCAGGAGGAATAGGATCCGCTTTCGGTCCTCTAGCAACCGGTGCGCGCTCGCCCTCTCCAAAGCGCCTTCAATGAATCCGTCCAGAGTGGCAGCCAAGAGGGATCCCCCTCTGAACAGACCAGGCTGCTGTCGGAGCTCTTCCCCTCGCATCGCCCCCTCTTCTGCTTTTTTTTTGGCACGCTTTCGCTTCTCCTTCCGTCTCTCCCCCCCCCCAAACCCCCGAGAAAACTTCAGCAAACTGCCGCCGCCGCCGCCGCCGCAGCGGTTACTGCGCGAGAGACTTCCTGGAAAAAGACCCGAACAGGAAGAGGCGCTGAAAAAGTGACACGTGGACTTGAGTTTATTGCAAAAAGAGGAGAGACGGAGGGGGAGAAAAAAAACCCTCCCTTCCGAGCCTAAATTACTGCAAAGGCAGTTTGATCACTTCGCCCCGGGAGCTGTCAAGGCGGAGAATTGGTTTACCAAGGGTGTGCGCGCGTGTTAGTTTTGCGCGTCCGGCTCCCTCTTTAAAACAAACAAACAAACCAATGAGCCAGTATCCAAGAGGAACCAGCGAAGCATCCAGGGGAGGGTGGAAACTCTCATCCAGTTTGCTTCCCCTTGTCTCTCCGTTTCCCCAGACTTTTCCCCCTCCGCTTCTACTCACTGGAGTCTTATCATCAGTCTCAGTCCCTTGTAGATTTAGGTAGCAGCCTCCAAACAGCTTTGCGTTGCCCTTCCTTGGGTTTTTATTTTTTTGTAAAAGTGTGAAGTTGAATGGCCTTGGGTATCAGCACCAATGGGGCGCAGCTGTATGGGGCCGATCTGCTGTCCTTCCACCATCACAAGCACCCACAGTTCCTGCCACCGGCAAGAGGTATCCAGAACCTGCAGGAGGGGAGCATGAAAAAAGATGGAACTGCTGATTCTTTCTGGTCCAGGTGAGACTCTCTCTCTCTCTCTCTCTCCTAAAAAAGACTCTGAAAGCCAAACTCTCCTATTGGATGAATGGGTAGCACTTTGAAATCTTGAAGGATAGGCAAAATAAACAAAAATAAACAAAAGACAAAAACGTGGTGGCGCCAAGACTAACTTGTACATTTTTTTAATGTGAGTTTTCATGGACAAGTCAGAACTAACGTGAGTCCATGAAAACTCACATTAAAAAAATATAAAAGTTAGTCTTTAAGGTGCCACCATATTTTTGTCTTTTGATTTCAATTTTTTTTAAACTTTCATTTTTTGTTAACCTTTAATGCTTGCACTGATTAACACGACTGCCTCTTCTGCGTCTGAAATCTGGAATGCTCAGAAGCGGTTTCATTCTGCATCTCTCATTCTTGCCTGTCTTTCCCGTTTGTTAGATTTAAAAGGGGGTTCATACCAACTTTGTGATCTCTACTCATGGATAGAGGGTGCCTCCCCCCAGAGATCTGGGAAGGAGAAGCCCAGCCATGACAAAAAGGTATTTCATTTATCCTCATATGATTTCCGTGCTAGCTCCTAAAAAGTTAAGAGCCTTGTGGCACAGCTTAACAGGTACAAAGCATAGCTGAAGATTTTATGAGCTAGGGTAAATCTGGCCATAAAGTCTGTCTAGATCTGTCCCCATAGATAGATTTCTGGGTAATTTGCAATATATTGGCAAATATTTCTAACTACAAGAACAGTAACAAGTTTATGCCCCATTTTGAAAATATTAACTGTTGAAATGAAGGAAGATCGGAATAACCAGGTATGGGGTTTCTGTCTGAAAGTATGATGAAGTCCTTGAGTTCTGAATCTCAACATCATTTCCTGGACTTAGATTTTGTTTTAAAACCTCTAAATGCTGTCTATCCTTTGCACCTGGATCTGGTTAGTAGGTCTTAGATTTCTACTTTTCAAAAAGTTAGGATCCTGCAAGTTTGAAGGCTGTCTGCTGCTGAACTTCATCGGATGCGTGAGTAAACATCAGCTTTCGTTGGCAATTTCTTCTCCGTGTCAGTAAGAAAATGAGTGAGTCAGAAAAGGCTATCAGAGGAAAGAACTGCAGTGCCTTCAGAAAGCCAGAGTATGATAGTGGATGGAGTATTGGGCTCAAACTGGAGAGCTCTGGATTCAAATCTCCACTTGGCCATGGAAACCCAGTAGGTTTGTGTGTGTGTGTTTTTCTTTGTATGTGTGTGTGATCCCACATATCTCAAAAGTCCTATTAGGGTCACCATAAATTGGAAGCAACATCATGCTGTGTCACAACAATGTAGAAGTCGGAAATTCCATCTCGCATCGCTGGGAGAATTCTGGAAGCTATAGTTAAAGAAAAGGAGTATTTTCCATGCTCTGATCTGTACACACTTTTATACTATGTTCAGATGTGTACAAGATAAAAACATTTAGCCGCAGGCTATGGTTGTATCGGAGTATAATGTTATCTTACATGTACTGCTAAGTTTATTTAAGCACCTGGAGAAGGAGGAGATTGCCTCAATTAAACTCTAATCAACATGGAGTTGCTGATAACATCTGGTTCAGTTATTTCATTCCGCTGGAGTCCTTTGAAGCCATCTGATATTCAGATTCAACGTGAAGCATCTTGGAATGTGGTGGTGCTGTGGGTTAAACCGCAGAAGCCTCTGGGCTGCAAGGTCAGAAGACCAGCTGTCGTAAGATCGAATCCACGCGACAGACGGAGCTCCCGTCACTTGTCCCAGCTCCTGCCAACCTAGCCGTTCGAAAGTATGTAAAAATGCAAGTAGATAAATAGGTACCACCTCAGTGGGAAGGTCACAGCATTCCGTGTCTAGTCACGCTGGCCATGTGACCATGGAAATGGTCTTCGGACAAACGCTGGCTCTATGGCTTGGAAATGGGGATGAGCACTGCACCCTAGAGTCAGACACGACTGGACTAAATGTCAAGAGGAACCTTTACCTATCTTGGAACAGTTATTGTACTCCTGGCTTCTTCTGAACATGACCATTTAAGAAAAAAAGAGAGCTGAGTCTATTCCTTTTGCGTAAACACTGCCATTTATTGTCCAATGCAAGCAACAGGCTACTGGGACATAGCGAGGTAAGCTAACTCCTGTTATTAGGTCTTATTCCTTAGTGGATTCCTGAGCGTATTGATACTTTCCAGTCTTTCCATTTTTTTCCTGTGACATAGCCTCGTTTTTCTGCTGAGTAGCTGTTTTAGATGAGGGCCTGTGATAAACTAGCAGTTCAGCTTGGAAATTTTACTTTTTGGATTATGATTCCCAGAATTAACTGGCAGTATAGGCATTCTATGTAAGGGTGATGACATCACCAGAAGCTGGAGGTTCTCAGGAATTAAAGAGTACTTTCTTCCGTGTTTTGGCTCCTATGGCTCATATGCAATGAGACTGATTACGGGCAAGTTGAACCAGCCACAGAACAGAAGCAGGAACTCTAATCTCATCATCAACCTTACGCAGGCATAATTTACCCAGCAGAAGTTTGGATAATGTTTGGAGAACAAAGTCAGCTAACACGTTTTCCATGAGTTAATTGGGCAACCGATGTTCAGAGGTTGTTTTTTTTTTAAGCATGTATAAAATCTGGCAAACATCAACTTCAGTGGCAATTTACATTGTAAGCCTGTAAGCAGGAACGATCTGTCAAATCTCTTCTGATTTGTGGTGATCCTATGAATTAATGTTTCCCGCCCCTCACAAGGCCTATAATTAACATCCTTGTTCAGATCTTTCAGACTAAATGCTGCAACTTCTCTTACTGAGTCAGCCCATCTCATCTCTGGCATTCCTCTTTTTTCGCTGCTTTTCACCCCAGCCTTATCGTCTCTCCCAGTCAAACTTGTCTTCTTATGAAATGTCTAAAACATAGTAGCCCCTATTCAGTCATGTTCGGTTCTAGGAAGAGTCCAGGCTTGACTGGACCCAGAATTCATCTGTTTGTCTTCTTGGCACTCCATGGTGCCCATAAAGTTTTCCTCCAGCACCTTATCCCAAATGACTTTTCCTGTCAAGTTTCGTCAGTGTTCGGCTTTCACATCTGCACATCATAACTGGGAATACTGTAGAATTAATGATCTAAATGATTCTCTTGCCTTTTCATGAAAAGGGAAGATACCTCCTGTAGCCCCACTATTATATCATAATTGTTATATTGATTATGTTGGAAAGTGTCCAGAATGTTCAATGCGTCATACAGATTTACAGCGTCATCGGCACGAACAAGAAAGGAACAGTTTTTCAGTGGTGTGCAAGGGAGAGCAGGTTTAAGTGCCAGTACTTATAAATTAAGCAGTGTCCTCTGATCTGGCAAGACGGCCCTTCCTCTCTTAAGCAGTCCAGTGTCATGGACTATCCTGTAGGATTCCTTGTTGGGCTAACCCAACGGATGGCCCACGAGGGCAGGGTTGGGGGATACATTTGGTAGGCTACAGCTCCCAGCAGCTACAGCGAGCATCACCAAGGATAAAGGATGATGGGAGTTGCCATTCTGGAGGGCCATCCATCCTTAGGCCCTTGGCATCATAATAGGAACAGTCCTGGTCAAAGAGACCTGGGTTCAAATGAATGCTGAAGCGATGGTACCTCTCAATTTTTGTAGATCTGTTCTGTGTTTGTGAATATGGAGGTGCATCATGAATACCCTTCTGGGCGGGAGGTGGTGAAACCTTTTTACAAATCAAGGGAGGGCAGGGAAGTGGGTGATTCCCATAGGCTTCTCCTCTTCTTTCCTTCAAAAAAACTCCTGGTTTTGCCAGGATCGGAAAAGTCTACAGCTCTGGAAAAAAGCACAGGGGGTGGTTTATGGGTGGAATCCATGTTTTGGACTGCACCTTGCCAGAGCAGAAGGGTGTAACATCATAATAACACGTACCAGAGTGTAGAGGAGAAGCCTGGCTGCTCCTGCTAGTAGTCCTGTAATTTTGAATTCTTTCCTCTTAATCCTGCATAGCAAAATACTGGGTAGTTTTTTTTTTCTGCTGCTGTTTTTAGACATGACAGAACGGTGACTCACCTCCTGCTGTTTTGATTACAGTAACTAGGAGAACACCTTGCGCATGGCTTTGTCCTTGGACCAGCCGACTGCAAGATGAACCTCGTTTGAGGAGGAGTTCTTTTCGGGGCCCTGAGGGGTACGAGTAGTAGGCGATGAGGATATGTGACCTTCGTATGATGCATGGAACACCTGGCTCCATCTGTTGCACAGTTTTGCATTTCTGGTAAAATTCCGTTTGCTACTCAGTAGAAGTACAGAGGTGCATAGCTTCATAGAGTCCATTCCTTTCTTATTCACTGGCCCTTAAAATCTCAGTAACTCACTCTGAGACATTTGTAGGAGAAAGAATAAAAAATATTTCTTTACTCACAGTTGCTTAAAACCACAGACTTGGGTATGCTACACACATTACTGCACACATATTTAGCCACCAACTGAACAGATCGACAGCAAACAAACAACTGACTCCTACAGGCAGAGAGGAAAAGAGACACTCAGCAGAGAGGCGGGTCTCTTGGAAGGAACTATTGCTTAGTCCTGGATAGACAGAAGAACACCCTAGCCCCTGCAAGTCACACAAACCACAGATAGCATGCGAGGTTGCAAACAAAACTCCCAACACCATCTCAGGTTCCCTTATGGACAGAATTTTTCTGAAATCATTTGCTCCTTAGGCTGAAAGAAGTTCCTTATTCTTTGTTTAGCTCATGCTGTCTGGTCTGGTAAACAGGAACTCTTGCTTAGCAACTAAGGATCTTTTCAACGCTTGGGAACATTGATTTGATTTGGATTGTAACTCTCCCAATATCTAGTTCTTGTAAAGCTTCAGACTGAACCTGGGATGTTCTACATGGAGAGCACACGTCTCACAACTCAACCACTGTCTCCAAAGAGCGAATGATTTGTTTTCCATGGGTTTCCAAATCCACTGTTAGGAATAGGTGATGGTTCCTGGGTGCAATCCTCATTAT